TCCATTCAATGTAATGGGTGTTGTCAAGACGTGCAGGTGAGAATTGCTGAACAAGATTTCCACATCCCATTCTTTATATTGCCTATTCATGGAGCAGACCTTGTCTTAGGAGTTCAATGGTTACAAACTTTGGGTTCTTTTCTGTCTGACTATTCGATTCCGTCCATCCAATTTACCTATAACATTAAACTGATCACCCTCATCGGCTCTACTTCCATGACCCCTACTTCAGCATCTTATGCTCAGTTTTGTAGGTTTATGTTCACCCAAGCCATTGACTCTATCCATTCACTTCACCTTACTTCCTTTGATAAACCTTATTCCAACACCACAACCAAAACAGAGCATCTAGTCAACAGTAACATTGACCCTGCCATTAAAGACTTACTTAACCAGTATGCCACCATCTTTGACACCCCTCAAGGCCTTCCCCCAGATAGATACCAAAACCATCATATACATCTAAACCCAAACACTCACCCTGTCAATATAAAACCGTACTGTTACCCGCAATTCTAAAAAGAAATTATGACAAATATGATCCATGACATGCTCCATGAGGGAATTATTAAACCAAGTACCAGCCCCTTTTCTTTTCCGATTTTATTAGTCAAAAAGAAATATGGCACGTGGCGATTTTGTGTAGATTATCGTGCATTAAATACTGTTACGGTTAAGGACTGTTTTCCTATTCCCACGGTTGATGAACTTCTTGATGAACTCCATGGCTCCTTGGTTTTTTCTAAGTTGGACTTGTGTTCAGGGTATCACCAAATATTCCTTGCACCGGAAGACACTTTTAAAACAGCTTTTCGGACCGTGGACGGGCACTTCGAGTTCTTAGTGATGCTGTTTGGACTCACCAATGCTCCCTCAACTTTTCAGGCTACAATAAACGAGGTGTTTTGACCATTTCTATGCAAGAGTGTGCTTGTTTTTTTTTATGACATACTGGTTTATAGCAAGGATTGGAAGTCCCATTTGCAGCATCTCCATCAGGTGTTAGAAATTTTGGTCGAACACAAATCGTTTGCTAAATTCTCCAAATATGAGTTCGGAGTTAATCAGATTGGTTATCTTGGGCATATTATTTCGGCCGATGGAGTGGTAGCTGACCCAGAGAAACTACAGGCTATAGCAGCATGGCCCGTGCCTACTTCAGTTATAGCCCTTCGCGATTTTCTTGGATTGACAGGTTATTACCGTTGTTTTGTTCAAGGATATGCAGCTCTTACTAGTTCCTTAACAGACCTTTTGAAGTCCAAAGGTTTCATTTGGAATGAGAAAGCTTTAGAGGCATTCCAAGCACTTAAGGATGTTATGATCCAGTTGTCTACCTTGGCTTTACCCAGTTTCGAACTTCCGTTTGATGTCACCACAGATGCTTCGGGTATTGCCATTGGAGCAGTGTTGTCTCAAGCTACTTACCCTCTTGCATTCTTTAGTAAGAAGTTCTGCACACGAATGAAATCAGCATCTGCTTACAAGCGTGAGATGTTTGCGGTCACGTCGGTTGTGAAGAAATGGCGCCATTACTTACTAGGTCGTCATTTCCACATCTATACGGATCAAAAGAGTTTACGGGGCATGTTCTTACAAACAATCCAAACTCCGGCGCAACAGAAATGGCTCACCAGGGCGCAGTAATGTAGTAACAGATGCACTGTCCCGAATTCCATAACCTACAGTGTCAGTATACACTAGTCTGTCAGCAAGTCAGCCACTGTTGTTGACACAATTGGTTGATTTTTATGCAAATACCCATATTGGGCTGGAATTATTGTCTAAATTGAGTAGCTCAAGTAGCACACCCATTCACTTTACAGTGCAACATGGTCTTCTCTATTTCAAGGGACGTTTATTCATTCCTTTCGAAGCCAATTTGCGCTCTCAATTGCTACATGAGGCACATGCTTCTGCTGTAGGAGGTCATTCCGGGGTCAAAGCGACGATGGCTCGTTTGGCAGCCACTTATTATTGGCCCCAAATGATTAAGGATGTCAAGTGTTATGTGCAGAACTGTGCAACCTGTCAACAATACAAGACATCGACGCAGAAACCAGGCGGATTGCTGAACCCCTTACCCATTCCGGGTCAGATTTGGGAATACATTAGCATGGATTTCATAACTCATTTACCTCTGGTGCAAGGAAAAACGACTGTGTGGGTTGTGGTAGATCGGTTATCCAAGTACGCACACTTCATAGCACTACCTGCTGCTTTCTCCGCATCTATGCTTGCTGCTGTATTTTTAGCTAAAGTTTACAAGCTTCATGGTATGCCAAAGACTATTGTGAGTGACCGAGACAAGGTTTTTGTGAGCAAATTTTGGCGTGAATTATTTCGTTTACAGGGTACCACCTTAGCTTTTAGCAGTTCCTACCACCCCCAAACAGATGGCCAAACGGAAGTAACCAACCGCACTTTGGAGACTTATTTGCGTTGCTTGACTGGGGATACACCAAAATAATGGTTGTTTTATCTGCCGTTGGCAGAGTATTGGTACAACACCACTCACCACACTGCCATTAAAATGACCCTGTTCGAAGCCGTTTATGGTCGCTCTCCCCCCTCCATCCGTTCCTACATCACAGGGTCCACGGTGGTTGTTTCTCTTGATGAAACCTTGGCAAGACGACACCAGATGCTACGGCTCATTAAGGAGAACTTGACGTTGGCACAGATGCGTATGCGCAATCAGGCCAATGCTCATCGACAAGATCGTTCTTTTGAAGTTGGTACTTGGATTTGGCTTCGTCTCCAATCATACCGATAAATCTCAGTTTGAGGAAGAGCCTCACTTAAACTTTCAAAGCGCTATTTTGGTCCATTTCAAATTCTACAGCGCCTTGGCTCGGTTGCGTATGAGTTGGCATTACCAGACACGGCTCGCATTCACCCAGTTTTTCATGTTTTCAAGCTCAAAAAATATTACGGAAACTCGCCTTTGGTCACTCCTTCTCTGGACCCATCTGTCATAGGCACCAGGGTTGCCCTCTAACCTGCCCAGGTTCTTGGAGCTCGCGAGCTGCAAACACCTACGGGAATGTGCAAACAATTATTGATTCATTTGGTAGGATTACCTGCTGTTGAAGCCACTTGGGAAGAGATCAATATGCTCAAGGAAACTTATCCGAATTTCAACCTTGAGGACAAGGTTGTCGTGGAAGAACGGAGTAATGATACGGGTTCAGAGCCCCCTTCAAACCAAAATTCTGCTATTGGGCCTAAAGAGGTTGGAGGTCCAGTGTTGAGAAAGAGTCAAAGGGCTAGAAAGCAACCCATTTGGATGCAAGACTTTGCCTAAGAGAAATTTTTACTATGTTGCCGTCATTATCTGTTTTCCTTTTTACCTTTTCTTTTAATTACGTACTAGAAGCTTCCACTTGTATTGGTCATGTAGCAGCTTCCCTGTGATCCGCAAATCTAGGGAATTTGTTAGAATGATTTCCTTTTCTTTATAACCATCTTTTACATGAATGAAAGGTAGCCAAAAATTTATCCCAATTTCACATTGGATTCTAACCTCTTTCTTCTTTTCTGGAGTTGCTCTAACTCGAATAGAGCCGATAGGTTAATGCCCTATTAGCCCCTCATCCTTCGAATTGAACGCTCAGATCTACCTTTCACAACCAATGATTCTCCAACCAATTATGGTTTTGTGACGGAACACTAGTGAGAAAGAAAATTAACCTAACGAATTGTATAATTTGGTTGTATTCACTATCATTGAGGATCCAATCACCGGTAAAGAAGCTGCAAAGAAGGAAGTATGGAAAAAGACCATGGATATATATATGGAAGCCATTGGAAGTAACAACATCATGAATCTGAAAGTGCTTCCACATGGAGAAATAAAATCAAAGTCAAATGGATCGATAAGAAAAAGTACAATGAAAATGGCAAGGTAACAAGAACAAGGCAAGACTAATGGCTAAAAGTTATTCTCAACTAAATACGCCTTTAGAGGGTCCAAGCTACAGTAAGGATCAAATTGCTTGAACTAACCTTGCAGAAAAACCTTTCACAAAATCACCATTGTAATCTTTAAGGATACCCTCGTATGCTGACGAGCCATTAGCAAAATAGTGAGCCGATCAACATTTATTCTATGTATCCTAATAATAGGTTTAGTTTGATTAACACTAGTAGTTCTACTATCTCTAATATTTCGGTGTCCATCCAAAGAACTATGAATTTCATCAACTTTGACTTAGGATTCTTGACCGAAGAGTATGGTTTATATCCAATTGGTGCAAGAATATGAGAGAATTGAGTTTCCTCCAGAGGATCGAGTGGGATGGCCTAAAGGAGATATGAAAAGGTTCAGTGAGAAGTCCTGCTATGAGTTTCTCAATTGTGCAACTGATGCCTCTGGTTTGGATCAAAACTTGTCAATGGATGTGGACATTTTACGGTCTACTATGGCCCCTTTGAAAATCAAAGTATTCGGTTAGAGAGGAAATATGGTGCAAACAAACTGTAACAGATGGAGGTAATAATTATGTCATTTTTTCTAGTTCCAATCATTCTCAAGCAGTAGCTAGCTACAATAAAATTATCTTCTCTGATAGGAATTTTGTTACCAAATTTTCTCTCAAACTACCACAATTTAATATCCAACTTTCTTTCAATAATTTTGTATCTTAACCACCTTTAATAATACCGTAAAATTTTCTCATATTTGACGTATCCATAGGACCACACTCATGCGTGATGATATTCCTAACTTATCACACAGTTTCCATTTTATCATAAATATCGGACCATGCGGTTTTAATTTGAATATTTTTTTTATATGTTTCAAATTTTTGTAGTTTGTCAATAAGAAAACAAACTAGTACCATAAAAGTTCGATATCATTGACATAAAATTTTATGGCTCTCATTTCATATAAAAATAATTTTAGAGCTTAGGTTCCAAAAAAATCACATTAGTACTATATAACATTAAATTTATACTTATATACAAGAAGAGAAACTAGAATCAAAGGAGTTAATATGGAAAATTTTGAAAAATTTCTTACTTTGTTGTTGTTTATTGTTATACCTAACATTGTTCAAGTAGATGCAAATTTTTTCAAAAGCATGCATATTACATGGGGTGCTCAACATGCAATACTTCATGATGATGATCTTCAACTTATGTTAGATAAATCTTCAGGTGGAATTAAATTATGAACTCATAGCTTGTATTAAATTTAGTTTTTTTTTTAATTCATAAAAATAATTGTATGTTTAGATTGACATATTTGAACGTAATTGATTAGTATTACGTTTGAATCAAAGGATCTGGAGCGAAAACAAAGAGACCATTTTTATTTGGAACCATTGAAACTCGAATTAAGCTTGTGCCCGGTAATTCTGCAGGAATAGCTACATCCTTATATGTAAGTCCAAGTAAAAGAACAATACAATGAGTTAAATTTTGATATATTCATATTACGTAATGTAAATATGTTAATGTTTTGTTTGAAAAAAAAAATGCAGCTATCATCATCAGGAAATCAACGCGATCAAATAGATTTTGAGTTTATAGGAAATATTGCAGGACAACCTTACATTGTTCATACAAACATTTTCTCACATGGAAGTGGAAACAAAGAGCAACAATTTTATCTTTGGTTTGATCCTACTACTGATTTTCACAATTATACTATGCATTGGAACCCCACCGAAATTGTGTAAGTTGATGATAAATTCTCGTAGTTGTGCGTGTGAGTTTCAGTGATAATTGTCATGTCTTATCTACATATAAAATTATTTGTTACTATAGGTTTTATATTGATAGCATCCCAATTAGGGTTTTCAGAAACTATGAAAATGAAGGCATTGCATACCCTAACAAACAAGGCATGAGGGTTTACATAAGCTTACATAAGGCAGATAATTGGGCCACTAAAGGTGGACTTGTTAAGGTAGATTGGAGTAATGCACCATTTACAGCCAAATTTAATCATTTTAGAGCAAGGGCTTGCAAGTGGAATGGAAAAGTGAGTATTTATGAATGTGCTTCAAATATACCTGCAAATTGGTGGACTTCTCCTGTATACAAACAATTGAGTTATGCTCAAATGGATCAATTGAATTGGGTTAGAAGTAGTCATATGATCTATGATTATTGTCATGATACTCAAAGATTTAATGGACAAATGCCTCTTGAATGTTACAAGGGGCAATTTTAAATTTGAGAAGGAATGACAAGATAGCTTGGAAGGGTGTTTTTGTCTTTTTATGTTTTTATGTTTGTTTGTTGTTATAAATTTGTGATTTGATTTTATTCTTTTTTTTTAATGAGTAGTAAAACGTATTTGTTTGTCTATTGCAATATTCAATTATTTTATGTTCGTCTCTATTGATATTTTGATGTGATTTTATTAACTTAAGATATATTTTCTTTTGTTCATTTTTAAATCTTTTTCTATGTTAATTTTTTAATTTATATGTTGGATTATTTTATTTCATCTATTTAATTTGTCTCATGTAAATAATGATTTGGCTTTAAATCAACGGTGTTTTAATGTGAATGAAATTTTTATTTTGAAATTCAAAAAATTCAAAATATTGTTTAAACTCCTCTCTTCTTCCTTTATGATAGGTTGGAATATGGCCATTAGTGATACATCTGCCTATGAAATAGGAATTTTTAGAAAAATAACGCACAAAGTTTTATTATTTTTGTTTTTTTACAAAAATAAATAAAATAATATCTTCATCATCAAAGACACATAAAAGAAAGAGAGAAAAAAAGAAGAAAACACATTCAAATCAAAAATAAAAAATTAAAGAAGAATTGACATCATGAATCCGAGTGTTTTTTGTTACTCTTCTGTAAAAATTCACAGAATTGTGAAAATAATAATATCAAGGTTTGTACTGTATAAAAGTAAAACAAGCATACCAATCTCAAATGGACTAGGGTTGTTAAAGGCTTAGAGTTTGTTGAGGGTTAGAGCTAGCTTACACGCAATGGTATGAGAAGATTTGTATGGTGGTTTTTCTCTGTGTATTAGAGACTATCCCGTTTAGTATCAAAGTCCTGGTGTATTTATAGCCTCTCAGGGGCCTTGGATCGAGTGAACCAAATTTTCCCATCCCCCTACGATTCTCGAGCGAGTGGGCGAATATTATCTAGAAATAGAGGAAAGAATCTTAGATCCTCCGACTTCTTGCAGTTTAATGCAATACTCATGCAAGTTTTGAAAAGTGTCATTTATTCAGAGTGTAGTGATAATGTGAGATGAATGGATCATTAGTCTAGACGATGTGCTAATTTGATTGGTGTGAAAGATATAGCAAGGAAAGTGACATCAACGTTGATGATTAACAAATATGTGAGGAGTCAGTGTACACAACCTTGCAATAGTATGCTTTCAGAATAAACCTCGCCTCAATTAGGTATTTTGACGGTTGTAACGTGGTCTGGTTCACGATTTATGAAACAAAGGATATTAGGCTCAAAGTATGATTTGTACCTACCCCTTCTTCGCGATGATCTTCAGTCCTATGTTCAGTTAATTAGTGTTTGTCTTCCAAAAGGGTTGACGATGTAAGCTTGATGATTCAAGGTATGCTCGACATGGTAGTCACCTTATTTTTCTTTTGAAGGATGTCAATGACCCTTTTAATTTTGACAAGGTGGCCACTGGATTTTATTTTGTTTTTTATCCCTAACTTTTGCATGGACTGGTTTCGCTTCTCGAATCCATCAGGATTGCCTTGATTTTGCATAAGTCTCATTTGAGGTGCTCAACTTAGCAGGCTTTTTAATTTTTTTGATTTTGATTTTGTTGGAGGATTGTGAATGCCAAGTCATGGATCATTGATGAACAACCATCATGTCTTTTGGATTTTGCTTTGTGATTTAAGTGCGTTAGCTGGATTAACTGAACACTACCCTGCCCCAGGTTGAGTGTAAGGTTTTATAGATCCGAAGGAAACTGCTACTTCTAGGCTCGAAGCAGTTTACTAGGGATTAACTCATTGTCTTTCCAGTGTTTGGGGAATTGAAACAATGCATGTACATCATCGACGAGATTTTATCCGAAAGCATACGATTTGCAATTATGGGTATTTCATTTTCATCATCCTCGCTTAAATCATGCTAGACAACAGTTGATAAAGAGAGTGAAATGGACAAAAATATGTGTTTGTGATTCGTGGTAAGGGGAAGAAATGAGTGAATACGACATAACAAATTCAAAGCATGCATAATCAATACATCAATAAAACCAAATACAAATGGCAATGTTCAAAGCATATAGTACTTAAACAAACAATGATAAAATACAAGAATACAAATGACGGGATGGCAACATGACTGCCTTCTTCGGGGAGATAAACTCGACTTGACTTAAGTTGATGCTGGCACTAGCTTGGCGGCAGCATAGGATTGTTGATGACATTTGGAGTCTTCCCATTGAATGTGAGTGCATTCTTATCAACCAGTTCTTAGAATTTGTGCTTAAAAGCTCTCAAAGCGATGACCCTTTTCTCCAACAATTGAGCAGAGATATTAGCATATGTCATTGGCAGACAATCAAAGGCTCTATCTGGCTTCCTCATCCTTTGTTGATTAGGCTGACACTATTGTTGAGCAGCTCGCTGTTGTTGATTCTGAGGAGGATACCGATACCCTTGTTGATTGTAGGACTGTTGCTGAGGAGCCTGTTGCTGAGGAATTTAAGCTTGAGCATCTTGTACAGCTGGAAGATAAGGCATTTGAGCGTATTGCGCAGTAGCAACATACACATATTGGAAGTAAGGGATTTCATAAGGCATAAGAGCAAGAGCTTGTTGAGGAGCTTTCCCTTTTTGCGCAGAGATGGAATTTGTTTCGCCCTCTTTTTTCTTGTATCCGTTGTAAGGATTCTTGGCTCCAGACTGGCTGCTAAAACCTTCTTGGATCTTTCCACTTTTCAAACCCTCTTCAATTCTCTCACCGACAATCACCAAGTCGGAGAATCCAGCCGAAACAGTACCATAGTACTAGCCTTGTAGAGTACCCATGAAGATGTCAATCAATTCACAGTCAACAAGTGATGGATGCACCCTTACATCTAGCTCTCTCCAGTGATGTGCGTACTCCTTAAAGGATTCGTTGTCCTTCTGAGCCATACTCTAAAGTTGAGTATGGTTAGGAGCAAGGTCAGTATTGTATTTGTATTGTTTGATAAATGCATTGTCTAACTCAGCCTAAGTGCACACACTGCTACACTCTAGCTGCATATACCACTTGAGAGATGCTCCAGACATCTATCTTGTAAGCAATGAATCATCAGCTTTTCGTCTCTGGCATAGGCAGCCATCTTGCGACAGTACATTTTCAGATGAATGTTAGGACAACTGAGACCTTTGTACTTTGAGAATTCTAGAACTTTGAACCTGGGAGGAATGACAACATCTGGTACCAAGCATAATTCTAAAGCATTCAGAGAAGATGAGTTGTGCCCTACAATGACTCAGAGTTTTTCAGCTAGATCACGACACATCTTGATGGCTTTTGAATCCTGAGCAGCAACAGGGTTGGCAATTGGGATATCGGCATGATAGTTTTGCACATCATCGTACTGGTCTAGCAGATTCTCTTCAGCATGAGGAATGGGGATCTGAACGAAAACAGGTTTGGCTTGCGGGAGGGCTCCAACAGTAACTTCAGGTGTGAGGATTGGTTGAGCAGAGGCTCCTTCAGCTGCGGTAGCGAAGTTCACCGGTATCCCATAGTTGATGGGGTTGGGAACATGAACTGAGAGCCTTGAGGTAGACCCTTGCACATGACCGTTGTTATTGACGGCAGAAGCTTCACGTAACTCTTCTTCCTTTCTTGCCATGGTGAGGGCTTCAAGAATCTGGTCAATCTTTCCCTTGGTGGAGTCCAACTCCTCTTTGAAAGCAGCTTTCTCTTGTTGAATTTGCTCCATCATGCATCTGGTGTTGGCTCGAGTTGCGTACTAGTGTCGAGGAATTAGCTTGATTTACTAGAGAGGAAGGAAGGAGAAGTGAGATTCTATTGATGAACTGAAATGCAAGATGCACAACTGATGCAATGCAATGCAATGACATGTATGCAGGATGAAATGTTATATGCAAGATCCAAGATCGCAGGTTCAAACGAATTCTGAAGCTGGTCACTGTAACAGGTAGGTAACCACATTTTTTGATAAAAGAAACCTTACAAGTAGACCCTATACAGGAAGATCTAGATTCTTTACCCATAAACCCACTCACGGGATAGTTTCTACATTGATGGATATGGTTCTCAGGATCACATACACTAATCACATCAACATCACGCAACAGGCTAGTGGAGGGATACTCTAGCAAGCAATATAGTTTGTTATGGTCATATGAGGCTGAATTAAGGAGGGCTTCAAAAGGAAATACTTTCAAGCGGAACATTCAATCTCCAGGTCCAGATTTATTACCAAGGTTTAAAAGGTGTTACATGTGCTTGATGGAACAAAGAAAGCATTGAAATTTTCTTGTAGGCCATTTTTTGGACTAGATGGATGTCATCTAAAACACAAGTATGGTGAGATATTATTAATAGTTGTGGGAAGAGATCATAATGATCAGTATTTACCTATTGCATTTGGAGTGGTAGAAACCGAGTCAAAGGACACTTGGAGTTGGTTTATGTGGTTACTTCTTGAAGACATTGGTGAAAAAAGTGGTGTTTCATATTTGACCAACAAAAGGCATGTACACTTCTTCTATTTGGTTTTGTAGATGTTATTTTCATTGCTTGAACATTGGTTTATATTGTTTTACTTTTTTTTCCAGGGTCTTGTACAGATGTTTGAGGAGCAATACCCAACACTTGAACATATATTTTGTGTGAGACATCTATATGATAACTCTGAAAAGAGGTTTGGAGCTGGTACCCTCTTTAGGGGTCTCATGATGGATGCAGCAAAGGCAGCATATCTTGAGGCTCATGAAAAATACATGCAGAAAATCAAGGAAGTCAACAATGATGCTTCTAAATGGTTGGAGGCAATTCCAAAAACAAACTGGTGTAAGCATGAAGTTCCTTTGTATTCTAAGTGTGATGTGTTGATGAATAATTTAAGTGAATCCTTTAATTCCACTATCTTCCTTCAAAGGGACAAACCAATTATAACAATGTTTGAATGAATTAGGTCTTATCTTATGGGTAGGTTTGCAACTTTAAGGGGAAAAGTTA